AGCCATATTTACACCACTGTTTTACAACGTCTGACCATTTCTACATGATTTCGTAGCATTACATTACTAGAAAAGACATCTCATATGAGTTGCAAACGTGGCCCTATGGCTCAGGTGGTAGAGTGATCGATTGGTGACGCCAAGCTGCACGGTTCGAGTCCTCATTCGAGCGAAATCCCATCAATAATGTATTCTTTCTAAATTAGCAATTATTTCTAATTTTCGGAAGTTTGACATAGTAATTACTGATTTTTCTGAAGCTATATGTAAAAGTCTTTACAGAAAAGGAAGAAATGGAAGCAGACCGATAGGTGATCACATCGAAATGGAAAGGATCACATGACAAGGCGTCTTGGCTCCGTGCCAGATCACAGACCACCAGTTCCTTTTTCGTTGAATTTTTTTTCGAAATTTCAGATGTTTGCTTATTCCTCTGTTATTATTGCTATTTGCTACAATGTTCTGAGCACTTTCACCTACTTGTTAGTTTATTTGTTGTCTATTTCTACTCAAGATACGGTTCTCTGATCTGTCCACTAGTAGAGAAGTCTGATCTACCGTTTAGTCTCGATAATCTATAAAGTCGATATTATTGATAGCGCGACGCCGTTCGCCGCACCACAGCGCCGCCCGCTGCTCTTGCTGCAGCTAGCGATGTGAAACTACTGGCTCCGTGTATTTCTCGTGAAGCTCTGGAAAATACTGCACCGCGCGGCGTCGCCACTCACTCTCGCGCGGCAAGCGGGTGCGACGAGCCAAACTGTGACGCGTGCTCTTTGATGACGTCATCGATAGCGGATGCAACAATGACTGCCAGTCTTTTTACGATGTTTAGGAGTTTTTAGAAAGTTGATTTCCACATTAGCTATTAGCGACCAATTTAGTCATTGCTATACATATAATCATGTTCCTTTACTGTTTGGATAGTATTAACAAAGCTAAATTAAAGTAACAATGCCAAAAACAAATATGAAGAGTTGCGACACATACATGAAGTCCTGCCATAGCTCAATGGTAAGTTGATGGACTCTAGGCCGACTGATCGAAGGTTCAGTCTCGTCAGAAGCTGTTCGCAAATTTTTCACAGAATTTGCAGTCACTTCAATCGATACCCATATTTTACATAAATAGACTCTAGAACCGCTACCACTGTGCGAAAACTGATCAGTAGCAAGGATGCAATGGTTGCAACAATTTTTGTCGCGATGGTTAAGTGGATAATCCTCTAGACTGGCAGTCGTGAGGTCCGAGTTCAATCCCGTAGCCACAGAGTAAGGCGTTTCCACGTGAAATCTTTGTTTCGCAAACCTTTAGCAATGAAAATCTAACCTCTATCCGTTATTGAATATAGTAATGAGGTCCTGTACCGAGTAGCTCTTCCTCACCGGAGAGGATCAGAGAAGACAGAGGGAAAGAAATATTAATATGAGAACTTTAGACAAATTCAAAAAAATGGTTTTCGAAAAAAAAATGTTTTAGCCAAAGACAGGACTCGACCTACGGAAGTTATAAAGCAAGAATAGCATACACTGAGCCATCCGAGCACTGTTACACGAACTTGTCATGTTGCTATAGAAAATTAGAAAATGATTTTTAAAAAGTCAAGACGGACCGCCTCAGAGCGGGATCGAACCCCCGACCGCTGCAGTGGAAGTCCAAGGACATAACCACTGCGCCACAGTCTCACAATGGAACGTCTTGACAAAACAGCCTACCATAGTGCGACCCTTCGGAACTCTGTCATTTACTAGTAACAAACAGAAATTTAGTAATAATTTATTACAGAACCTTCAATAACTTCCTAAGCATTAAGCAAGTTTCAAGCTGTAAGCATCCTTAAGCAAATATCGCTCTTCCTTATCTGAGAGGTCAACAGCGCGAATAGATCAACTTTGACCTATATCGGGAATCTATCAAGTCGATAGCTTCGATTGGGCGACGTCGCTCGCCGCGCCGTCGCGCCGCACGTCGCGCAAAACTTGTCGCATCGCACACGTCGCGCCGCGTGTCGCGTGCCTTGCCGCGCAGCCCCCAAATCATTGCTATTTCCGAGATTTACCTGAAAAACCGGGCGTCGCGCGGCGTCGGACGCCGCGGCGCGGCGACTACCGATATCGGCGTATTGTAGGTCATCGTAGGTCGAGGTATTGTGACCCTGCATACTTGGCACTTTGCCAAATTTGTGAAATAGCGTTAAAACTCTCCGCTTTTTACAATGTTGGGTATTCTAGACGTATTTATTGCTAATTTAAGCTTAAATCTTTGCTATCTCGGCGTAATTCTTGTATTTCTCTACGGACCAACTTTTTTCATTGCTGAACTGCCCGTGTTTAGTTGATCTCTATTTTTATGAGGGATTTACAGAAGTGCTTCATTTGAACCTACCTTAGTTGAGGAAACTTACTGTAGTGTCCAATTTTTGGAGCTATAGGTCACAGGTCACTAGATCTTATGGTCATCTGCTAGATCCTTTCTAATGTGGGCAAAATTTGATGAGCTTTGTGGAAGCTACTGGCTCGATTCCTTTATATGTTCTTGGGAAAACTCATAAATTCCTATTGAATCTTGTAATTTTCAATTTGCTCAATTGTCAATTAATTTATTTTGAAATTTTACTCGTAGAAGTTAATTTTTTGACGTAACACTACAGTCTACAAAACTAAGGCCAGCCATGGGACTCGAACCCTCGACTGCTTGCTCAATAGTCCATTACATTACCCACTCGGCCATACTACACTTTTGATGCTTCGAACAACTGTGTCCCACATTGTGATGGGTTCTCTAAGGAACGATTATATTTGCCAAAATCGTTGTCTGAGTTGGGACTCGAACCACGACCTCAGCGACTTGAGAACAAGTGCGTAATCCACTTGGCCATCCAGTCATGCAAACTCTAACATAAATAGATAGAGGTCCATACTCTAGCCAGGATTCGAACCTCCGATGTCGCCACTACCAGCCTATTGATTAACCAACTTAGCCATTCGTGCAACTTACGAAATCCCTTACTTTCTTGCCAGAACTCCGGAGAAGACCAAAAAGAATACAGTTTTTCACCATTTTCTCACCTTCTTGAGGCGATTTTTAATGTAAAATAGCATTTTTTCCTGATTTTTTAAAAACT